TAAAATTATACAATATATAACAATTAATAATTAATAACATAAGAATGGAATTGAACAGATTTATTATGGCAATTGCTCGTAAATCCCGACAAGGTTTGCCTCAGTTAATAGACCGTAACAAAAAAGAATTCTGTCATATACGACTGACGTCATAGTCGAAGCGTTAATTCATTCGGCATATTTTGTTATCGCAACCCGTCCTCTGACCCACAAATTGGGAAATCGCGCAGTGCCCATTGTTATCGTCACGTTAACATGATTGATGCAGAGCGTGCAGGCAGATGAAACCGATGGCTGACGTTGTGTTAAAGTAAAAGTTCACGGACGCCGGACTTTCACCGCTTATTTCCGTCACCAGCGAGGAAAGAAAGAAAGAAAGAAAGTGCCGCGGCTTCTCTAATAAACGTTATTAATGATTGTGCGTGGGTCACCGTCTGAATAGGAGAAAAGCAAGGGGACGCTTGTTAACCCTCGGTTTGATGCACATGAATGACAACGAGCAGGCTTCACGGTACGCCGAGAGAGCAAACCGCCTTATAAAAATCACCAAACTTGCCGACCACGGCGTCACTTTGTTTCCTCGCGTACAGGACGCACCCTTGCGACAAAGGATCCCCGGTCCGTGTTCTCGCTCGGTCTGCAAACGTTATCGATCCCTCGATAAGCACGAATTCATCGTCGACGCGCTCGAGATTCTTCGACAAAATCTAGCTCGACAGAGAAGAATGACGTTGAACGCGAAGTTCCTGATAATTATGGCGTTAGTGGCTTACGGTGTTCTCGGACGGACCACGGACAGCAAGTATGACCTTTTTAAGGAGACCTACAACAAGAAACACGGCGGTTCTATGCTGATGGAAATCGCGAAGGAGCTTGTGCAGAGGTCGTCGAGTACCAGTCAAGTAAGTGCTGCGACGTGCACTCGCTGCAGAAAATATGAACAATAAATGTACAACGTCCTTGCAACAAATGAGCCGTTTATTTTGAAAGTGGCATATTTAAGGGTTTGCGTTTTAACAGGTTTAAAAATATGGATGCTAACTTTAGAGAAGATTTACTTGTATTTGTTATCTCAGGATACTGAGATATTTTTCTCAGTATAAATAATTTCGTATAAACATTACAAAATCACCACTTTTCATTACGGTAAAGTGACTTATGCCACTTTCAAAATAAACGGCTCAAATAATTGCGATTCATGATGAAAACACTTACAATCACGAAAACACCGGAACGAAAAATATTGAAATTATAACTAATAAACTATCTGGTGAACTGCGGATTTTTTTGTTATTATAGCACGTGCAAAGTAAAATATTTACAAATATATTATATTAATATTATATTAATATACAGGGTGGGGCATTTTAAACAGGTCACCTGAATAACTCGCTTGTTTTTGAAGATAGGAGAAAATGCATTAGACCAAACTTACTTGGTACCGGGTGGCTCATATAATCTGGTATTACCAATTTTTCTGTAGGTGGAGGTGTCGAGGAGATATGAAGGTCAATTCTGTTTTTTCAAACGGAACAGTAAGTTTTTTTACTTACATTCTGATAGAGTGTTTCGAGGCAAATACAATGAACTATTATGAAGGTGATTCAAGGTCACCCAAAGTCAACTGCAAGATAAAATAAATTGTCTCAAAGTGCTTTTCGAATACCTGTGTATCACGTGTGTGTATTACGTGACACGGGTCGCAAAAGATAAACAAACATTCAATCACATTGTACGCTTATCTGTATCCTCAAACATTATTGGTAATTTTAAATTATCTGTTTTAGAAAATAATTTGAAGAAAAATTCAGAGATTTATACATTTCAGCGAAGCAGTAGAAATGTCGTAAATATTTCTGGACTTTTCGTACTAAATGTCGTATGGTCATAGTGTTGTGGTCGTTGCATTGGACTTGATCTTAGCTTTTACATTATGACGATAAAAATTGCACACAAGTAAATAGATGACATTATTTTTTTATTAGATTTATAAACAAATTTGTGTGATTATTTGCCATTTTACTGTATTTTAGCTTTGCTTTTCTGTGTCACTTTGGGTGACCTTGAATGACCTTCATAATAGTTCATTGTATTCGCCTCGAAACACTCTATCAGAATGTAAATAAAAAAATTTACTGTTCCGTTTAAAA